GACGAAAGTTGAATAAGGTTTTAAGCAAGACGGAAAAGGAAATGAATGGCTTCATTCAACGGATTGAAAATTAACCACAATAAAATTTTAAAGTAGTCATATTTTTTTACTTTAAGACACACTGCCAGTAAGTGCAGCTTAGGACAAAACAGGCTTCCATATGAGAGGCTTAACTAGGGTGTGGAAAAGAAACGCTATTCACAAATCGTTTGGTAGTGGTTGATTGAAGCCCTTCTTCGATGAAAAGATATGATCGCTAATGGGTAATGACTGAGTGGATTTCTAATTTCTACAGACTTAATCAGTGGTAAGTTGAAGGTCCAATTGCCCCTTAATTTTTTGATCCGTCGCACATTAGTTATAAGGCTAAAATCGCAAACGTAAAGACTAACATTAAAGAATAGAAAGCTTAAAAACGAACAATACATGTGTGTTTATTTTTACTGAAGCCTTTGAGTTGCGATGATTTGATATTTGGTTGCTTACTAAACGGTCTATGCACTACTAATTGTACAATAAAGTAGCATGCTACTTTGACAGCAATGTTCAAAGTGCAGCTCGATGTCTTAATGGTTGCAATCGGGACTAACCAACTCCCATGCCTCAGAAAAAGGGCACACTATTAATTGCTTCTGATGATGTGACACTTCGTGCATATGAACGCCAAAAAATGACCAAAATTTCCAACTTCATCTCCAGTCAACGCCTTTGCCCAGTCCAAATCACCACACAGAAACAGGGCTACCATTATTCAGTCCAAAGTGACATTATAACATCGTACAACGACCACGTAACGTGATGTCTCCTTGCAGGCACCCTAGTGCGGATGATAGAACCAAGTTGATGACAGGCAGTTGGTGAGCTTTTGTATGCGTCTCACTGATTTTGTGCTCATACGAACCATGTCATAACGATGGAGGTCAGTTAAGTCTGTGCGATGTCTCAGTGTGACGCATTGCCTTTGTTTATGCACCGCATGCATCAGCAGTCATTGATGAGGACAAAGTAGTGATCCTCCAGGCGGTGTGGCAGTGGCATTTGGTTTGGCGGTAAGAGGCGTGTGACAACTTGTACACCTCAACAGGAGAGCTGGATGATTTGTGAGTGAGGGTAGATACTTTTGCTACTGACGCCTGACAATGTAACTGGTCAAGACAGTCTACGTGTTTGAGCTGTTCTGATGGCATTATCACCGTACACTCCCACGATGATCTGGTCGTCGTTAAATAATGAAGAATTGTGCTTTACTTAGGTAATCAAAGTCCGCTTTATTCTTTGCGGTGATATTTTCAAAGGAAATTAAGAAGGCGCTCCTTTTAACTCTAACTGTTTTGTTACCTTAGAATTTATCAACAGTTCAATTTTAGAATACATTTGTCTCTTAAATGCTGGCTTAGAGGACAAACTGGCCTCTTTAATTCTAAACTATTTTTAATTTATTTTTAATATTTAGCGTTATACAGTTTTGCCTTCAACCCAAAAAGCTATGCTGACGTATGCGACAGATCCAACGATACAAACATAGGTAGTGAAGCCGATAGTGCATGTTGCTTCTTAAAGTGCTTTCATCAGATTTGTTCATTTAACCACTTTGTCCTCTGGCACAAGGACAAAATTCTGCTGTCATTGAGATTGTAATTGGGGATTTCCAAAACACTTAGAACTTTAAAAGTAGCAGATGAACCTTCATCTTGGATAAACATTGAATCATGCCCAAGAGCAGCAAAAGGGACCAACCTCAAGGGCGAGCAAGTGTGTGCCATCTGTGACTACTTACGGACCGTGTCAAGCGAGCCAGCGTTTCTGCGGAACAATGTGATCACAATGCAATTAATATAAGGATCGGTAAACAGGGCCTGATTCCCCATAACTACGTGACCCATTGCTGGACCCTGTCAACTTGGTGTCTGGTTAACCTCAAACATCACCAATGTTTGGGTGTTCTAGCATCGCTGCCAAGTCAATGGAGTCCTTGTCCAGCACATTCGTTTTAAATATATCGCTCTGAGCTTAGAATAATCGAACAAAATAAATACGCCATTCATAAGTTATACGAATGCGTTTTTAGTCGAGGAATCCCAAGTCACTCAATTAAAGCACACAACCTCCTTTTGAGTTGGCAAACAGTATGATGTACTTAGAATCCATTCAATTTGTGCATCGCAACCTCCGAGCCACTAATGTCGAGGTCGGGGACTCGGATCAATCCAAAATGCTTTCCATGCCATCAGTTAACCTGACTAGTAACTTCCTCTCTACTGATTCCTTAGGAAATATCCAACAATATAGTATGTCACTTAGGCAATAATTCCCGTAAATTCCTATTAATTTGATGCATGAAAATTTCACTTTTTCGCATGTTTCTAACTATTGCAATAAGAGGTCAGTTTTCAAAGCGGCTACGTTGATGAAAACTAAAGTTTAGTAAAGGTCACAAACCAAAATGTGAACAGTTTCTTGAAAAGGAGATAACATGGCTTTGAGCAGTTAAAATGCTAACCCTACTTGTTTAATCTCTTTACAGTTCCCGGCAGAGCAAGTTGCGGTGGCGCAGTCTCCGATTCACCTAAAGAGTATATGGGCTGATGAGGTCGTGTTGGCAGCATGACCCCGAGAAGAGACCGAACCTCAGAGAAATAAAAGGTAAAAATTGGAATACACTATTGAAGTTCTGGATGGCAATTACGACCCGGGTTGGGTATCATGTATTAGTTAGGTATATTTGTCTTGCGGAACTGATGCAATTTAAATATGCGTAAGTGCATATTTTTACAAAAACGATTTTAGAAACATTATAAGATAATGAGAGAGACGTTTTCTGTAGTTTAATTTATTGCGACAGTGCCTATGTACACTGGATTGAGGGCTAATGTAAAGGGGGACCCCTTTTCTCTTGGGATGAGGAAGACCATCGCTAAAAGACAGTAAGAATTTGAGGAACTTGAGGAGATTAAAGGAGAATTGCACAGTAAAGCATCTAAAATAGCTCACGTATTCTTAAAATGGTCCACTGTTACCCATAGGACTGCGCAAGCATCAACCAGCATTTTATGGATGTTTTTAATTCGGAGGAATCAATGCATGCAGGTATGATGAAACCTCATATGCAAAGCTTTCGAAGGCAAGTCTTGGATACAAGTTGTTGAAAGCCAGTTGAGTAGCGATGGATGCGTACCTAAACAGGTGCTCTAGCAGCAGATACTGAAACCCTCAAAGTTGACTAGCTCCTGAAGTTTTTTGAAGGATTAAGTTTGATCTTTTAATTAGCGGGGAAAATGTGTTTTGTGGTAACAGGCATCAGCCGCACCATTGTAGGAGGAAGAATAATTGTAGTAATGCGTAATCAGTTTGCATGGTTTAAATTTACCAACTTAACCCTTTAAGTCCTGCCACCAATTTAACATTTTCTCTTTATTTTTATTTTGAGAAGTACTTTAGAATCTCACTGTGAACGTTTGCATTTTGATCCAAACTTAGATTTGTTTCCCATCTACCATTTTTGGAATCGTTTCAATAGAGAAACTGAAGGAGAATATTTCGAATTTGCTTTAAGGAAAGATGAGCATCCAAAAGCTACCCTTTATGAAGCAAGTTATTCTATATGAGTAAATTTGGAAGGAAAATGACATCGCAATATGTCTACACTTCCCACTGGATAGAAGAAAACATTGAGGAGGGCTAAAAACGTGTTTTAGAGAGAAGGGGGAGAGACTGAGTTGTGTTTATTTCCTTAGATCAACTTGAGCTTACAAGGGGATGGCAAATACTTAAGTTAGCAACAGTTAGACGGGTGAGTACGTGAGCGAATTGCTACAAGTTTAGCCAAAAAGACTATAGTACCAGAGATTTTTCTGTCCATCTTTATACAGGATATTAATTCATTACAAGAGTAATCCGATATATTTTGCGCTGCATTTACGTAGGTGGTCACAATACTTATATATTTCCGGACCACATGACTTAGCTGTAGTTTGTTAAGTTTTAATTTAATTTTATGGGCCGGTTGACCTTTTATACATCTTGGTTGAGTACAAAGGCATTACGGTTGGACCACCTCCTTTATCATTGGCTTGCTTGCATTGAATAAGCCTTTCTAGGACCGAAAATTAATTAAAATTGGAAGCATTAGAGGGAAGTCCATCCTAAACACTGCAAATGTAAATGCTATAGAAGTTATAAAACAAAATAAAATGTGACGGTTGATGAATAATTTTTTACTTTGTTGCTCGTATGAGCAGTGGCCTCTATAGAGGTCATCACGCTTTGGCCGGGTAAGATGGACTTCAAGTCAAGCTAAAACCGTACTTCTGTCATTTCTGTCTGGTCGCAGGATTTCTAGCCATGTCTTGTGACTTCGATTACCAAATAGGAAGTTTCGATCAAAGTATTTTATTAGCCTTAAGAATTAAAATACACGATACAATTAAAGCGCTATTTTAACGTCAAACAAAATTTAAGGAAGCGATCGCAGAACATTTTATGAGGTTATTAGATAACCTACAGTCGTTGTAAAATGTATGATGCGTTTATATGCATAGGCGGATGAGAAACTTAACAAACGCGCACGAAAACACATCGTCGAGACATTTAAAGCCTTAATGCTTTTACTGTGTAAATGTTTGGCATAGAAGTCACATTTTTAGGATGAGATTGAATTTTTACTGATTTCCTCTTAGCTGATTGTTTGTAGTCATAAGTCCTTTGGTGCACAGTTTCGAGGAACAGGGCTTCATTTCTCACTCGCATGGCCTGCATGCTCTTGGTCGCTCTAGTCCTTAAATTTCGTTTGTAGTCAGACTAGTAAAATCCAACGCTTGCTCATTTTCCTGATTATTAAAATGTTTTACATTATATGCCCCTTTATTGATTCTAAACAGTTCAATTGGTTCTTCAAAAGTTTCTTCACATTAGTGCTGCCGAGACTGCACTATTCTACTTCGACACCTGCAATTAGCGTTGTATCAAGAGCTTTCTTATAGTGCGCAGGTCCTGGGTGCAATATGGATGAATTAAATGCCGCGGCAGAGCCAAATCCACCAGATAATAAATGCCTCTTAGCACAAAATAGGGGAGAGAATCTCTCTTTGGGCTCAAAGCCGATTTTGAAGGGAAGTACTGAGGAAATCGACGTCCTCTCTTTAAGTATGAATAATGCCAGTATCATGTACAAACCGGACAATATGCTTTTGAAACAGCATTCTCCATCCACAAATGTGAGATATAATCAGTGTTCTACTGACCTTTTCTGATTTGTGTAAAATTGACTATTTTGACCCAACTACTTATTACCTTTATGTAAAATGCAGTGTGCTGAAATGGATTACCTTTGGTTTTTTTACAGTTGAAATTGAGAGAAAGAGATGGTGATACAGAATCGGAAGGGGAAATGGAGAATCATTTAAAGTCAGAAGAGGTCTTGCTGCTTCGAAAGCAGTGCTCAGCAAAAGAAAGAGAAGTAGCGCAACTTCGAGAAACGTTGCGACGACAGGAGTCCCGTTGTGCTGAGACAGAAGCGGAGATAATGCGATTGAGAAGTGCTTTAATTACTTCGGAAAGGGCGTGCAGCCGCCAATCTGCCTTGCTCTCGCGTAGTCTGGTCGACAGAGAAGTGATCGCCTCCGAGGCCAGAGCTTGTGAGCAGGAGCTTTCAGAGGTCGAGGACAAAATCCACCATCTTACTGCTGAGATCCTTACTAGAGAGTCACGTATTATCCAACTCGAAGGTGCGCTCTTTCAGCATAAGTTTGTTTCCCATTTGCCTTTAACTTGAAGATTTCATGTTTTTGAACTAGGATGTGCTGTACCTTTAGACGAGATGACAGGACGTCGAGAGGTGGAAGAAAAAATTAGTCAAATGACTTTGGCTTTTAAAGAGGCATTACGTGAACACGAAGAGCAGCTACGGGCTCGATTTTACACTGAGAATAAGGAAGCTGCCACAGAAAAAATAAAATGCCTCCAGCAAGAAATTGAAAGCTTGAAGGCCTCACATGCTGAAGCAGTGGATATCATTACCAAACGGGCGGAAGCAAATGCACAGACAGACGCTCATACCATTCGCCAACTACAAGATAAAATAGCACAACTACAATCTCAATTGGATTCGCAAAGGTAGGATGAAGGATTGGTACTTCTCATGCCTTACTCTACAATTTTCTTCATCTTTTAACCTTGCTTCCTTTGCAGACAAGAAATGGATGATTTAGAGGTCCGTAATAACCGTTTCAAAGCTGAAGTTGATCATCTTGAGCGCTTTGGGAAATCAATGCAAATAAGGGTCGAGGAGGCCGAGGTCAAAGTTGTCCGAGAGCGAACAAAAGCGGAACAGTTGGAGGCGGAATTAACTGTCTGTCGTAGTGCACTAGCCTCCTCTGAACGGAATCTGCATGAACTTGCCTTAGATCATGAAGTAGCTCGAGAGAGGATTAATGTTTCTGATAGACGTTTTGAAGCAATGCATGCGCAGATAGTAGAACTTAACGCTTCCCTCCAGGTTTCCACTCAACAAAGTGTCTGTGAGTCATTTTAGCTTCCAACACCTTTCATGAGAGTTTAAAAAATAAATTATTTGAGAATTCGCTGCTAATTACTACGTCCCTAATAGTGCTAGAGGCCAAAGTAAAGGAAAGTGAACAACGAAACGACATGCTAGAAAGAAGGCTTGATCAAGCCGAGAAGAAAGCGAAGCAAGCGTGCGACTGGAAGGAGCACTTGGAGGAGGAAAATGTTGCTTTGAAAACCACCAATCAGCGGCTGACATCCACAGTTAGCGAGATGCAGTCTAGTTGTACCACTTTGCGGTGCGAACGAGAGAATTCCAACCTTGAAATTGTGGAGTTGAAGAATTTACTAAACAACTTCGAGGTGGAGAGGTGGGAAATTTATCGCAGTTAGGAAAAGAATTTTATCTATGTTCAGACGCAAAATGTTTTACTTTTATGCCGTTGATTTTTAACAGAGTAACGCATAGTGTTCTGTGTCAATGACGGATAAGACTAATAAAGTGGAGGCTAATGAATTCGGTTTATGTACGTTTTACAATCAGAGAAGCTAATGAAGCCACGCTGAGTGAGAACCTCCGAATTGTTGGGATCGCCCTTCCCATCTGTCCAGAGCTTTGCAATGGTGAAAGTGGAGAGCCACTAGATCATCCGCTGTCAAAGTACACAAAAAGGCATAGGGGTAAGAAACATCACATTTGAAATTTATGTAAAATTACATGATATCTCAATTGTTAAACGTGCGGATTGGTTGTTTTCCCGATGGCGATCTGCCTCTTTGCGTGGACAGTGTTTGTGAAGGGTTTTGTAAATATCCAGGATAGGTTTGCGCTCATCCACAGCTTTAAGCTCATCCCTCACTTTATCAGTTAGACAACTAGGCGTTAGATATACACATTAAATTGTGCTATTTATGTCATTTTGGGTACTTGTATTTCCTCCTGCAGTACTAGATGTTAGCCGGGCAGTAGCCCAGCTCACCGCCAGAATTGTCGCCGCAGAGGCAGAAAACACCCAATTGCGCGAGCAGATAGCAACTCAGGATGCACATTTAGTGGATCAACGCACCCAGGCTACTATACTCAACGACAATCTCCTCCAGCTGGAAACCCATCTCCGCAGTGCCAGAGAGGGTGAGTGCTTTTAAAGAACTTTATCTTACAGCCGACTAAGTGTAGTTTTACATTCCTTTTGGTCAGGTAAAGTGTGGATCGTTGAACATCCTCTTATTTAATTGTGATTAATTGCTTTATTCCAGATAACAAACGCCTCAGTCTCCAGCACGTCTCGTTGAGGCGACAATTAGAGAGCCAGAAGTGCTCCACGGCCAGATGTCGTGAAGAAAAACGTTTACTCCAAGAGAAGCTTATAAGATGTAACCAAATTTTCAGACATGTGGCTGACCTTAACTCCTGTTCAAATCCCGGCAAGGTGATCTCCCTCCTTATTATAACTTATTCCGTCTTTGAGGAGTACCTGAACTCCAACTCTTAGAATTTGTTTACAAATTCAATAGAATGAAAAACAAACTAGCCTAGAAAATGGATATTTATAGAGGTGTTTTTGCAGCCATTGGTAGTTTATGTCGAATAATATATGGAAAAATTTGGCAGTTAGCTAAGTTTGTTGTATCTTTTTAGCTTTATAGTGAGAAGGAGGCAAACTTGCTCTCGAGACTGGCAAATTTCTTCGAGAAGCCCAAGGGTGTATCAAAAGTTCGGGATGATGAAAACGATGTTAAACGGTGTCCCACAGAGACTACTGAGACGAGTCTCATGTACCAGGGCACAAAAGTTGGTTTCATTTTCAATAAAAATGAGGCAGCATCTAAAACTTTTATTTGCAATACCTTTAATGATAAGATGAAGATCAACTTGCCTATTAACATCAAACTTTGATTGTTACGAGTTTACCGTAATAGCCGTTATGTCTTGTTGAATGGTTGTTTTTGGAAAGTGGTAAAGACATTTTCAAAAACGCATAACTCGTATAATGGATAATGTCCTAAAAAAGTTCTTCCAACATCAGTCTATTTATTTATCGAACCGACGATATCTCCTTAATAATTTAATGTTAAGCTGCAATTATGTCATGTCATGTCCATATCATTCTTAGAGGGTTTGAGAACTTCTTCTAAAGTTTAATTAGGAGAGCAGATTTGGATGCTTAGAATTAATGCCAGAGTTCGGTGACTGAATATTGGGCCGCATACTCTTTGCTCTCTCTGTCTCAGTTATCGAAGGTGGCCACGGCAGTAATAGAGGAATGTGTGGGCAAAGAGGGTCGTATCCATGCTGACACGTTTCGCACTCATCTGCGTGAGGCATTTGACATTCCACAGATCAAGATGGATATTCATCGCCCAAGCCACAAAGTAAGGCCTATTGCCAGGTGGTCATTTTGTTCTATTTGGTTTTTTTGAAAGACGGGATATCATAGCACTTCAATTTGCTCTTTTGTCTGCTTACTTGTCTTCGGAATTTTAGGTGGGTAGTTGTGGAGTAAAGGAGGAGACGATCTCGGCATCGCGACCAAATGGTGATGGTGGAGACATATGACGCAAATCGAAACTCAAAGAAATTACTATTCACTTGGTACCAACTTTTTAGTACTTTGTACTGCCTAATGACTGTTGATTTCTATTGTACTTGTAGGTGTGGAGAGGTGCTCACAATCGTAAACTAGTGATTGCCTGATTCTCTTTGCCACGACTTTATCTAACAGGTTAAAGTGCTAGTGAAGACGATACTGGCTCAAGATGGTGCAATCAAGTGGGCTCGAACACAAATGCGATTATGATCAAAGCAATCGTGAGATGAGATTTTGGTGTGTACAAGACCTTTAAGTCCAGAAATTTGTGTGCATTCGGAAGTAGCAAACTACGAGTGCGATTACTCGCTCGATTGTCAAATTGTGGACATATTGGCTTAATTTTCGGGCATACAGTGAAAGTACACTAGAAGTTTCTGCGTTGATAACAACTTAAAGAAAGACTTGGCGAAATGCTCTGAGGCATTTATGGAAAAAACCTTGTGGTTACCTTGTGCCCAGCCTGTAAAATGCAATTTGGTTTTGGCAATTGTAAGTAAGTGAGCGCAAGATGAAAGGGTGTGGATTTTGCAAAGCATTACACTTGTTTCTTTGAATAGCCTTCAAATACAGTCCTTTAACTAAGCCAATATTGCTAATTCCCATAGCAGTAGCAATAATTGGATTCCCTTCAAAATGTGACATGCAATAAATGAAAATCCAGTCGTTCTCCCAAATTCAAAAGGTCCTACTATTTGCAGAATGGCGGAGAAGCAACAAACTTATTGCTTGTTAAACTTACATCCAGTCTCCTTCCTAATCTCATTTGAGGGCTCCAATTGATCTTGCGAATTCGGAATTCCTACTGTCTACTACCTGGTTGTAAGCAGTATAAATTGGCAAAGCCTAAACAGCCGACTGCAAAACTTCTGTCGCGCTTAACTATCTGCGAGATTAATAAAAAAGTGGGACCTTAAATAAAGGCTTATGCTGTTTTTTTAACATAAAATGTCTGCATTGTCAGATGTGCGAACATGGTATGCATACTGGCTTGCATGCCAAGGAGGGAGATGGCTGACCGATAAAACGCCCACCTCTTGACACTTTTTAGTCACCTGTTTAAAGAAACTGTGGAAGGGCTGAAATCGAGCATGTTGTGGCGTGTATGGATACATTACAACTGCTTCTCTTTTTGTGGTTCAGGAACACTAACGACTCCTGCCGTGTTTGGGAGGGAGGAACCTACAACTTCTTTTCTCATTGCCTTCAAATTAGGGAATAACTTGGAAAATTTTCCTTATTACCTTTCGAATGCTGTCCAGCATAAGCTTACTCAAGGAAACACAAATGTTGGTTTTGGTTGCTGCTCTGTGAGAAATGAAAGGAGCATAAAAGTGAGCGAAACGTGCGGAAAGTATATGCCTTTAGAGCTTTAGAAGTAACCTCTGACGGATGTTACTTTACAACACAAGAGGGTGAAAAACTAGCCTGTTGTCTCGTAAATAGAGCCGACGACAAATTACGGCATCAAAATTGGTAAAGGGCTTGTTGGCTCTGAGTAGGTTCTTAACTACCAAATAATAATTCGTTTGACACACAGATTATTTTTTTTAAATTGCCCAAAACCTACAGTTTTAAACCTAAATCCTATATCAATTCAAGTAATAAGACGCGTGCTAGACAAATCTGGTCTCGCAAAGGTTAATTGGTTATCACTACTCACTAACTGAAGACACTGATACTGTGCGAAACCGATACTTTTGAATTTGACATAAAGCATCGATTGATGCAATAAACGACAGATAAAATTTTTGCAGTGTAATTGATTTCAAATGGGTGATATTATTGGAAAGTGTGCAAAGAAGACGAATGAAGTGCATATTGTGGAGAAGTGGCCAAGACGGCAGAGGACTGAAGCTGGCCATCTGGACGAGGACGAACCAACGAAAAACAATTCAAATGCTAAGGCAAAAGCGAAAGCTAAGGAGGACGACTCTGGTTCTGAGTTTCATGAAGAACCGTTTCTCAGTACTACAACATCCTCTTCAATGTCATCTGAAGGGCTTACATCGCATGCACTGAGGCAGAATCATGTCTCTCAACATCCGCCACCTCCACGATTGCAAATCCTTACTGAGGAGGCAGAAAAGGCAGATCAGCGTTGGTACACTAAAACTGTCTGGTTGGATGCGGGAGTACACTGCTGGCTGTGGGTGGATGAAGAAAAGGCTGCGATGCTCTTTAAGTCTGGGGACCGTCGTTTGATCTCAATTGCCCGTCGATGCAACTGCTTAATCGAGCTTGGCTCAAATCAGCGTTACCACATCCACAAAGGGCTTCAAAGGCGAATTGATATATATGCGCACGATGATAGGTCCCTCACAAAATGTCTGAACCTGTTGGAGGAGACGTTTTGGAGCTTCCGTTTGCGCAATCTCACATTTCCTTGATTTGCAACAAATTTTGCCGCCTCCTTCAGATTGATTTTTAGGTCTCCTATACACAGACTTTCTCCCGTAACCGGGATAATACCTTCATTGCCTTTAAAAATTTTTCTTGTCAACGTTCCCATACCTCTCCTTTAAACTCTCTTCACTAGTATTTTTCAATCCTTTTGAAAAGCGAAATTTCATAGTTCTACCATTCCTTTAATTTACTGGCCATCTGCCTTTACCCTTTTTAAATTTAGGCCTCCTGCTATGTCTCTCTGTCACTTCCCTTCCTCTTAAGTATGCACCACTCAATACAGCGGAATTAATCTTTACCAGCTTCCCATCAAGACACAGCTTCCTTGACCTCATATTGACTTCCTCTCCCACAAGCATATCTTCATAAAACCAAAGACCTGTTGGCATTTCTGCACAGGGCGTACATAGTTTACTGGTAGGATTCTATCAATTACACATTATTGTACCTTTGTCAATTTTTTTATGTTTAAAATAATCGAACAAACCTAATTGGGTCCAATACTGCATTCCTCTGTAGTTGAGAGTAATGGGAGCATTTTAGTGGAGGACGCAGCTGTAGGGCTTGCACGTCCCAGTCCACACAAAAATTTGCAATATTATGGATTGGGGAACAATATTTTCAGCTAACTAAAAAGCCAAAACGCAGTCCTTCGACGCTTTATTTATGATATCTTTTTGAAAGTTTAGTACCTTCTTGCCTTGGTTCTAACTTCCCATTACTATCTTTCTAGGTTTGTTGGGCCTCTTCATCTTAGCCAACCTGCTAAGACCACGATTCTGCAAACTAAATGCTTGGTTGCCCTATCATAAGACATAGACTTTTCTACTCCTTATCACTCCAATGGAAAGACTGAGTATTGGGAGTTTGGTTATTTCGGGAAGGAAGAATATTTAATCTCTGGGTGGTTTTGAAGGATGCGTCGACTCCTCTAGCACGAGGTTTGAGTCTCTCGCCTCTAAGGGACTGATGAGTATTAAACTGCCACCCTCCTTATCGTCAGTGATGCGTAGGGAGCAAGGGACGGCAAAAAATCAGTACTTGTACACTTAGTGAGGTCAAATGAAGGCATGACAGCACAATCGCTCCCCACATCCTTGTGCCTGCATTGACCTTGCGTTTTGACATCTCCATAGCTAAGCCTTTCTAAATTTCAGTCCTCTATCTACTACACATTTACTTAATCTCCACCATAACTTTACAAATTTTATTCTTTTTTGGCCATTTCAATGCGGTCAAGAGAACGGGGTCAGGTTGGGTTGATGAATAGCCATCTTGCCACAAAATCGCCAAGACAATTGAACTGGCAAATTCCCTTGTCATTGCTGGATAAGTAGTAGTATTTGCGCCCTTTGTACAATTCTTTTTTGCCTCCCTCACCACGCCATGAGTGATTCTCCCAACTGATCTATTTTTGGGGTTGTTTGTCCTCCTTTCTACCAGTGCTCTTTGTGCATGTGGACAACTAAGACTTGACTTTGGTAGTCATTTGGGATCAGATTAGTGTACTCTGAGATGTCACTCAAAAAGATGTTCACTGTAGTAAACACGTTGTTGAGGTGTGACTGGGTTAAGGTCGCGCTTTCATGATGCTTCTTTTCTCCACTGCTGTCCTGCTCCCTCTGTCTGTCCCGTTGTTTTGCAGGAAAAGTTGAGAAAATACGCAGTCGCTGGTTGCAAGACTCAATCTCGATTTACCTTGTTCGTTTACTGTCCATTTTCCTATTTGAATAGAGGTTTAATCAGACTGCACAACTGCTGGCTGAAAAGACTTTGAATTTGAATATACACACGTATATAAAAAGACGACGACTACGACGACGACGACGTTAGTTTTAACAAGTCACCGGAAATTCCGTGTTCCTGGTGTACAACAAACATAGTGGCGTCAGCAGCGGCGTCCGTCTCAAGCGGTGACTTTGCTCTCACTCCACTGACGTCAGTCTCGGCTTTGCACGCAAATTCGGCCCCAGGGCGGATACACTAGGGCCGACGGTGTGGTAGAAAGGGGGAGGACGCTGTTTTCATGCGGCAACCTTTATTCGCATTGAGCCCAAGATTCTAGCTAAGGTCATTTTATTTCGCCTACTGTGTGCAATCGAAGATCTATTAAGGCTACCAATCTAAGTGCGCAAATGCTTCTGACCTTAGTTTATTGTACATTTTTTCACTCTTCATAGACGTTAATTACTGAAGCCATATTTTAGCGCTTCATAAAAAGTTTGTTTGAGGTAGCTGTGTGGTTAGCTTGGATGCTTTATGACATCTAAAATTGCAGCAGTAAGTTTTATAAGGCAAATATGCACTTAATTATTTAGCGAAGTCTTTATATTTCATGCATTTCTCAATGATATTTTTACCTACAAAATGTAGCTCATTATAATTTAAGGGAATGAAAGGCAGTATTTGTTTATTATGAACGCCGGTTTTTTACACCATGGGAGATGGAGGATAAGAAATTATAAAGGCTGAAATTCGCATGGCTCTGTGCATTTGTAATGGTTCGATGACCTCGAACCAGTTGGATACAGCAAAAGGGACGAAACTTTGAAAGATATTACAATTTATGCGAACATAGAAAAGCAGAGTGCCTCATTAGAGTTTTCATATCTTGCAGGAGGAAAGAAGTGAAGAGTTTTGTTGACTTTTCTACCTGCTAGATCAAGACAAATAGGATGACTTTTAGGACCAACATTTCTGCGATTATTAAATTTACAGCTACAGGATTTTATTTTCAAACGCACGGCGGATTTGAAAGCAAGGTGCAAACACTAGCATCATTGTAGGCATTAGAGGACCAAAATGGTAAATAAAATAAATCAGAATAAATTGCCTGCTTTAAAGATATTCTGACTCACATAAAAGCTTTCGTCAGCGAATGATTTTACTAGTGCTACCCTACTGTGCTCTGGAATATTCCTTAGCTAACGGAATAACAGCTTGACTTAAGCTTAGAAGCAGTTTTTTACTGGCAGAAGAATTCATTTACTCTTGGGATAAAGCTGCTTTAAAGCGGATGACCATCAATTTGTTTGTATGCGAATCTTACCAGAACTGAAGGCTAAAGTAACGATTTAACATTTCATTCAGTAGTAAAGACATATCTCAAGGCAACAGATTAAGAAGTAGCGAAAGAAGGTGATAATATAAAGCGCCTTAAGAACATATTTGCACGTTTCGATAATCAATCGTTGTTGACCCCCACAAATAGCATAAGTTTAAGTGACTCATCATTTCTGAAATTCATCAAAACTTTGCAAAGAAGTGCAGTACGAGGGGCGCCTTTTTAGCTTCTGGACGGCAAACAGTAATTTTTGTGCGATGTGAAAAATAAGCACTGCTCCTATCACCGTTCCTTGTCAGCGATGTACTCCTGACACTTCATGACATCAAATGAAGTTGTTTAAGTGATTCGAAAATATTTTTTAGAGCTCACAGACGAACGACAATTTTGTGTGTGTCTAAAAGGTGTTCCAGCATGAAGGCACGGGGTATCTTCTTGGCGAAACTCCC